CTGTTCAGGTTGGTGTACCGTGTAAAGTGGGGATTGGGTAAAAGTGGTTAACTTACTATTGGATCAACAAATAAAGGTTACAGTTTTGTAAGAGAAGTGATTTTAATTTTGAATACATTTTTCTGGAACTATTCATAATGTGAAGTTTTCCTAGAACCACTGAGTTTCTAGTTTAATAGTTTGCTATGCAAATGACCGCCTAAAACAATACTGTATATTGGTATTTTTAGAAAGATTCAAAACATCTGTATTTAAACCTTAATATGAAAATCATGCGGTTAATAGTTACACAAGATGTTTTCATTACAAAATATGTGTCTATATATTGATGGACTCCACATCCTGTACTGTAGCATGTAAGTCCTATAAAAGGTGAAAAGTATGATTTCTTACCACTTAATTATGATTGATATGATTAAACAGATTTGATCAGAAGCTGTAGGTAAATCCTCTTCTTAAGCCAAAATGGTATATGAAATGTAATTTATTGGTTCTTCTGTTTTCTTATCCTTCTTTAAGATGTTAGAAAAAAGAAACTACAAGTTAATATTTAGTTGCTTATATTATATAACATTTTAACGATATATAAAGTACTTTTTTGGTTTCCTTCTCACCACTTTTATTCAAAAAGTACTTTTACATACCAATACATAGTCTGTCTGATGGGAGTATAAATTGGACAGTAAGCTTTTGTCTTAATAAAAGGGAATTTGTTTCTCATATGAATCTTGCAGGGAAGATGTAGGGTTTACTGAAAATATGTGGGTTAAATGCTTTCAGGTACACCAATTCTTTATTCTAAATTGAGCTCTATTTGAAGTTCTTTGGAATCTGTGGTGAAAAATAATTTTATAATTTTCAAATACATTAAGAGCATTACAGTGAATATTAATCATCTTTAAAAGTCTTTTAGAAAAGGGCTTGTATTGTTTTTGGCTGCATAGAGGGGTGAGAGTGTGTGTGTGTGTATATCTTGAAGAAGATGTAATTCACAAATAGTTTAGCTCCCTAGCTCTCAGTTGTAGAATAGAAAATATAACATTATTTAAGTTAATTGAAGGGTGAGGTTTTTATACCCCACTAATGCTTTTTATCTCTCTTTCATTTGTTAACATTATTTGCTTAATTTCTTTCAACTGAGACTTCGAATAATACTATCAAAAACTAAGACTAAACATTCCCCATGTATCTTTATTAAGCATGCTTCTCCTGAAATTTAACTACATTAGTAGTTGACATTTTTATACATAAATCCTAATACCAGAGTAGGATAAGGTGGAAATGTAATGGCTTGAGGGATGTTGAAGCATTCTGTTAGTATTATTTATCATGTTGGGCTCCTAGATTGTACTGGGGTTGCCCATAAATCAAACCCCATACTCTTAGAATTCATTATATTGTGGTGATATCTGAACCTAGTGAATGGTATGCTTGGGTGTTTTCCATTGAGAGTGGGTGGACCTCTTTATAAAGTCGGTTGCTGCAAAATACAGTTCTTCCAAAAGCCACTTTATTTAGGGTTTATTCACAAATATCCACTTTGATATAGTGTTTGTTTTCTAATGTTTATTAATCACGTTATACCAAATGTCTTGCAAAGAAATGTTATTAAAACCTTGAATTTTTACAAATGTGAAAAACAAAAGGTGTATTTGTTCAGGAAAAGCTACATACCGAAGGGCTTTTGTATATGAAATCTGTGGTGGGGAAACCCATTTGTAATCTATATGGCAGCTCTGTCTGGGTTTTAAGTTTAGATGTCACCATGTCTTAGTGCTTCATTCTATTGGTTTATTGGAACACGTAATAAATAGGAGTAGTGATGTATTAAAACTCAAGTATTCATTAATATTTTATATCTTCACTAAAATTCTATATTAAGCTGTATTCCATCAGTCAAGGTGTTATATTTCCGTCAGAGAAGCAAAAACTTAAGATTATTTGGAAGTGTGTACAGAAATAAATTAGACTTACAAGTAGGGTAGATCAGAAAGTTAACATATGTAACTGCAGAAATTTGTTAAGACTTAAATTCAGTGTGAGGAATAACTCTAGTTCTCTCTTCTGAGCATTTCCTAAAAGCCATATGATTTGGCATTCTTACTGGAGCTGTAGACAGAAATCTACAAAGACAAAAGTAAACAAAATTAAGTTCTTATTACATTGTGAGGAATGGAAATAAATTTGCGAAGTCTGCTTATTTTGAAGAATTGGTGAACTAGGCTTGCTGATTGGTAACTGCAGCATAGTGTGTGTTTACTCCAGCCTGTCATCTTAGGTCAATTGAAAGTTATAAAAGCTTAAGGCAAGGAAGAAATAACATGGAATTCTATTTGAAGGACAACAGAATATTCTTGGAAAAGCAGTTCCAGTTGGCTTTTCAACTGTGTCAAACTTGAATGTATAAATCCCCACAGAGCATGGACAATTGGTGCAGAGTTCCAAGGAAACAATTACTGCCTGATGATCACTTCCATTTTGTATACACTCTTTGGTTCATATAGGCCATATTCCAACTGAAAAAGTAATAGAAGTCCAGTATATAATGTATCAAAAACAATTGAGGTTCTAATCTAGTGTATTAATTTATCTGAATTTGGATTTTTTTAAAGTAATAAAAAGTTAAATGTATATCCCTTGGATGCTTTATTTCTTTCCTTTTTCAAACATGAACCAAGCATAAGGGATAACCCATTATTGCCATGCAAATGAAGAACTAATAACTTTCCACAATTAAATAAAGCAGGGGTCTACAGACTTTTTCTTTGCAGTTCTAGATAGTAAATACTTTAGGCTTTGAGGGCCATACAGTCTGTTGAAACTATCATTGCAGCACCAAAGCAGCCATAGTAGACTACATACACTAATGAGAATGCTGTGTTCCCATATAATTTCACAAACGGCCCACCGGCGATAGTCTGCTAACCCCTGAAATCATGTATTTAAAGTTTAAGGTTTAAATTTATATTTTGAAAAAAATTTTAATGTACAGTATAGTTGAGAGAATGGTCCAATGAATAAGATTGGTCTTTCTTAAGAAATGATTTTTCTTGTATTGCCATTCTTTTGACTTTTTTGTATACCTGACTCCTACACTCAGACTTTACCATCTCTTTGCTTGCCATCCTCTGATTGATGATACTTTGCATTTATTTAGCTTTTTTTTTTTTGGTGGGGGGTGGTGCGGAGATGGAGTTTTGCTCTTATTGCCCAGGCTGGAGTGCAATGGTGCAATCTTGGCTCACCACAACCTCTGCCTCCCAGGTTAAAGCGATTCTCCTGCCTCAGCCTCCAGAGTAGCTGGGATTACGGGTATGCACCACTACGCCCAGCTGACTTTGTATTTTTAGTAGAGATGGAGTTTCTCCATTTGGTCACACTGGTCTCGAACTCCTGACCTCAGATGATCTGCCTCCCTCAGCTTCCCAAAGTGCTGGGATTACAGGCGTGAGCCATCACACCCAGCTGTAGCATTTACTGATTTTTCAAAGCAGTCTCACATGTTCCTTCACAAGCATCCTGTGAAGCTGATAGAGTAGATATCCATGTTTTATGGATAAGAAACCAGGGCAGCTAAAGGTGCTCTTATTTTTAGCCCAGAAGTAATCAAGATTCAGGGCCTTATTGTCTTGCCTACTGTAACTGCAAAACAGGGGTGTCACCCTCCAACCTGGGAGGCAGATAATATATGTAGAAGTCGCATTGAAAATTAGTGTTGTATACAAATGGAAGAGGTTATTTTTACTGTGCCACATCGAAATCAGTGCTTAATTTCTTCATGTCTATTTGTATGTTTTGTTTGTCTGTTCCTGATTAGTTTTTTAAAATCCTGACCAATCTCCTTGTTTTTTTTTTGTTTTTGCTCTGGACTCAACACGCTTTTATTAGGTCCTTGGTTCTTTTCTCCTAGTTTTATTAGTTGTCTCAGTCAACACCTGTACTTGGCAAATCCCCTTAGCCAAATAGTTGGTAAAAATTTGGATTACATTTGATTTCTTTAATGAACACTTTTTGTCCAGTTGGAAAACAGGAGAGAAGGAACTCCTATGCAGCCAGTTTCTTGATTTCAAGTGTGAACTATTGTGGAACTATTAACTCTGCACTATAGCATTAGAAAAGAGTGGAGGAAGCCTAATTGGGACATATGGAATCAGTGTAGTTTACAAATGCATTTAAAATTAATTGATTATTTAAAGTGATTTTCAAAGTTTGCATGATTACTTTGCTTGACAGCCGTTTCAAAGGAAAAAAGGTGGGAGATGGTTACAGGGGTAAATTGGTATAAGTGGGACTGGCCAATGTTATGGTTATTCTTAGTGGCCTGGCCTAAGCCACTAGGATTACAGGACTTAGTCTTGAAGGTCAGGAAGAAAAGGGAGAGTCTAGAGAGTGAGACATGGAAGGTGGTTCTAAGTTGGGGTTGGTGAGCGAGGTCTGCTACAATTGTAGACCAGAAAGGGCAGACCTAGGTAGCTAAGTGTCACAGGTATGGTAGCTTCGATGCTGGCATGAGGATGTAGGATGTGCCGTTATCAAGGTGTCCCAGGCAGAGAGATGGAGGTGAGAAGCAGCAAGGTTGGGTTAGGATGACAGCAGGACGTTTAATGCCAGAAGACTAAAATGTGGGAGGTGCCAAGACTGCAAAAGTGAAAAGAAGGCTTGATGGTAGACGGAAGACCTGGTATGCCACCCTGAGGAGCTGGATGAAGATTTTGGAGAGCCAGGAAGGGTTTTAAACAGCTGTTGAAAATTGTAATCTCTTTAATTATATTCTCCAAAGAACTGAGTATCTTCTCGGTGGTCAGCAGTGTAAAGGAAGGAATGAGCTGGCATGATGAGAGTGCCCTCTATTTTGGAGGTTCTGCTCCCTGCACTGGAGCAAGTTATGAGGTATAGTGGCCTGGAGAGGCAAAATGAGAAAGTGGCCCAGGTGGATAAAACTCAGATTTGAAGGGGCAAGAGAACCCGGTTACCTTGGGTATGAATGAGTTGGGTGGGGGAATGGGTGTATAAGTTGGGTGATGGAATGAGTTGGGTGGGGGATGGGCGTATAAGAGGAGAGAAACACTTGTTCAGGTTCACAGAGGACCCAAAGATACAGCAACCTAAAGTAATGAATGTAATAATGGAGCTAAGTTGAGCAGTTTTAGCTCATAAATCCTGTTATTCTGAATCTACCTCTGGTTTTTTTTCATAGTTTTTAAATTAAAGAAAAATACATTTTAAAAATTATCTGAACCCAGATTAGAGTTTAGCTTTTATAGTTTTATCTTACAGTGTTCATTTTCAGTCATTCCTTTCTAATCTTTCTAGTGAGCCAAATATTTTGTTGCCATTTATTTGTTGATAGCCAAAGTAGCAATTCAACTGGACTTCTACTCTAATAACATAAAACTGTGGCTTGTTCATTCAAGAACACCACTGTCTTCAAAATATTTGGACAAAGGGTGTTGGTGAGAAGACCGGGCCACTACTCACCAGGTGGGGACTGGAGGTCATGAAGGCTCCCAACCTTATTGCTTGCACAAGAGGTGGCCTCTCATGTCTATTTTCCAGAGGAATTTCCTTTTAATGAGTAAGCCAGTTGGTGGTTTGCCTAGTGCCATCTGGAGACCTGGAAGTGTCACAGAAGTTTGTTCAGCCTTTTAGGTGTTGACTCTGTGGACTTATCTACTGAGATGTGGTGACCTTCATGGGGGCGAATGCAGAGAGCTGTGGAGTTGGGTTTGACTCCTTCTGGCATTCAGGCAGAAATGCGTGTCATTCAACCCCCTTCCATTCCTGTTGCCTATGCACTGGCCACTTGGCCTTCCCTGCCATTTGGTGACATTTGTCCCCTCCAAGTTCCTTCCTCCCACCTGCCAGTTTCTAACCAGATCCTGCCCATCCAGCTCCATTCTGTATGTTACATGCCCATTTGATGAAAACAGCATGAGGCAGGTCAATGTTGCATTTATTTCTAAGAGCGAGGACAAAACATGAGTAGCATCCTTCCAGTAGTTAACTTTTAGCTCTTTACTGGTGTGAAGATCAACCATCATTATCCTGGTTGATAGATGAGAAGACAGATGACCATAAATGCAAGAAATGCAGTTTAATATGAAGCCCAGCGCTCCCTATTGACTATTTTGTCAATGATGAATGTGAAACCATGTGGAAATCCAAAAAGAAAGTTGTCCATTTTTCTGCTTGCAGTTTAAATTGGAAAAGGATTCTACTGAGCACGATGCAAAATATCTCTACACATACACTTTTGTATGTTAATAGGAACATTTTACTCGTATAAAAAGATCTTTGAAAAGCCTCACAGTAGTAATACTTTTTGTATCTCTAAATCAAAATGGCTCAGTTCTGACAATTTTTACATTTAAGGTACAAAGTAGAAGTGGGTTTCAAATAGCTCTTGATTAGTCTCCTAAATTATTCGGGCATGTGTTTTTAATTGGCAAAAAAATAACCAGACTTCAGAAATTGGTCAATTTTATTCCATCAAGTTAACAGTGAGTGGATTATTTAATAAAAACATGTCTGTAATTCAACACAAAGAGCACGTACAGCTGTTCATTTGTGTCTTTTTGACTGTATGAAGCCTCTTAGACTGTTTCACTGAAAGATAGGGGCACCGAGAGGGGAAATCTGTGGGCTTAAATCTTTTCTTCCTTACCTATCGCAGCCGCTAGGTTAGGTTAGGTAGGTGCCGCAGCAAGCGCCCTTCATGGCTCGACTAGAGGATGTGGAGAGAGCTATGAGAATCGTAATCCTCGACTTTTTTTTTTTTTTTTTTTTTCTGCACTGAAAGGGACATTCACTCATCCCTGCAGAGAAGCAGCTGCCCGAATGCATACAGCCAGCTGGTGGTGACACGAACCGCGCACGCAGGGCTCCCGGTCCAGCGCTCCGAGCTCTAACCACTGTTGCAGCCTCCGGCCACGTGTGCATCGGGGAGTTGTAAAGTGAGTTAGGGAAATAAAACGAGGCGGGAACCCCAGCCTCGATCTTCAGGAGTAGCGTTCTCGGGGGTCAGAGGCCGTGGTGGTGCCCCGGGCAGGCGCCTTCGGCTGGGTGGGCGCAGAGCTGGCCCCCGGCCCTTGGCTTCAGCATCTTCACCTCGCTCCCCTTCCTCCGAAGTTGCGGAGGTGCCGGGAAGAGGAGGGGCCTCGCCTCGGGCGCCCGAGTGATTGGCTGTCCAGGGCCCCTGGCGAGGACTGTTTGGTCCAGCCCTGGTGGAGAGGGGCGGAGCGGCCACTGCTCCAACCACCGCCGCCACCGCCACAGTCGCAGCCGCCGCAGCCTCGGCCGCCGGGCTAGTAGCTCCGAAAGGCGGCTTCCCAGTTGTCCTGACGAAGACAGGGGGCGCCGCGCTCCGCTTGCTCCGCGCCGGAGCCATGCCCGGCAGCCCAGTGTAACCACCGAGTCCCGGCTTCAGCGGACCGACCCAGTGCACCGTCTTTCGCCAAGCTGAGCTTTCGTGCACGCAACTCCCTCTGCCCCCGCCGGCCCCGCGCCACCATGCCCCGGGTGACTGCACTTGGGGCCCTGGTGTCACTGCTGCTGCTGCCGCTGTCTCGCGGCGCCGGGGAGCTCGGAGAGCGCCCGGACGCCGTCGTGGACTACTCGGCGCTGGACGGCGAGGAGGGCACCGAGCAGCAGCTGGAGCATTACCACGACCCTTGCAAAGCAGGTAGGCGCCGCCACCGCCGGGGAAGTCCCGCAGAAGTTTGCCTTTGAAATGCAAATGAGGTGGTGGGCAAGCCTGCGCTGCCGTCTGTGGGGCGGGTCTCCTCTCCCCTCCGCTGAGATCCTCGGCTCCCCGGGAAGACAATACCTCCGCGGAATTGCTTAAAAATCACTCCAAGGCTGGGACGTCCCGGTCCCAGGTTTGCGGCGCGCACCAGGGGGGCAACAGCCGGCATGTTCCCAAAGCGAATCAGGGCGGGTGTCCGAGGCCAAGAGGACGCCCAGGGACCGGGGCGGGTGCCAGGATCGCCTGACAGCGGGTGGCCAGCACTGGCCACCGCCGGACACTCTAGGTCGGAGCAGAAGTGCCGGGCTGGGCGCGGCCCTTCCAGGCTCAGATGGAGTTGCTGGCACTGATTTCACAGCATTCCTAAGTTTCGCGCAAAGTTTCCCAAGATCTGTGGTTACGCTTGGGAGGAGATTTTAAAAAGAAAAGCGTCACTGTGGGCAAAAGGAAAGGGGTGGCCGAGGGAGAATAAGCAAGACTCGAATAGCCGGAAACTTCCCTGTAGCCCCTCGGCGTCGTCCGGGCCTGAGGGTCGCCCTGGGCGGGCGGAGATGGAAGCCGGCAGGTGTTCTAATCCTGCCCGGAAACGGCGCCCCGGGACGTACCGGCCTTTCGGGCGCAACCGCCGCCCCGGCTCGGCAGCTCCCGCTTCCCCGGGGCCGCCGGCCGGCTCTTGAGTCCCGAGGGGAGCTGCTACCGAGCTGGAGTCGGTGAGGCGTTATAACTCCGAAGGGCCGAAGCGCATGTTCCAGCAAGCTGATGAGTGTGGGGCAGTTCCAGCACGGGCAGAAGGGTGCTCACGCTCCCCGGGAGGTGCTGGGCTCAGAGGCTCTCACAGACGCTCCTGGCCATTGGTGGTGTTTATCTCTGGCTTTGTGCGGCTCTGTTTCAATTGGCGGTGGGCAGAAAGGAATTGGGAGGGAAGAGCGCGACCTCCACCCTTGGCGGAGCAGGTCCTCCTTCCCGGGGCTGTGGCCGGCCAGGTCTCTGCGGGGCCTGTGGGCCAGTGGCCGCCCCTTCACACCCTGAAAACCTCTATCAGTTTCAGGTTCCTCATCTCTAAATTGGTGGCAGTAATTATAGGAGGCTCAGGTGATTTATGGGAATATTCTTTGCAAATGAAATGATGGCATTGTCGTCATTTTTATTGTTACTGTCACTGCAGTGGCTCGGGTCGAGGCTGGGGGTTGCCAGGGTCAGGACTGGGTAAAGTCTGGGGAAGACCAGGGTACTAGGAGGCAGGAGGGGTTTGTGAGACTTGAGAATCTTGTGAAGGTTGAAGATCAAACTAGTCTTGACGGGTCTGGTCTTAGTGAGGGAAGTTTCCTGCAGAATATCCACCTATTGCTGTACCTCATGGGGCTTCTGAGTTAGGAAGGTGGGCAGAAGAGTTGGTTCCTGGGCAAATGGAGAAAACCTCAGCAGGTAGCATGCCTGGCTCAGGTATCATGAGTTCCTCATAGGACCTAATTCAAGGCCCAAGACAAGAGGCTCCAGAGCACTTGTGGAATGGCAGCCTGGCCCTGAAAAGAGGGCCCCTGAAGCTAGGAAAATAGGTGTGGGATAAAGTGAGTGGCTGGACCACCTCCTGCGCTAGTCAGATTCTCGACACTGCTGGGTGTGAGCTGGGACCTCTGGGAGGCAGTGCAGGCAGCTGAGGCCTGGAGTGAGGAAGGGATTGATTTGCTCAGGAATGTATGCTGCACCTCTTAGTATGTTGGGTGCTGGTCTGGGCACTGTGACTCCAGATGTGCAAGAGACATCCAGCTCCCGGTCTCAGCTGTGGAGGATGACCCTGAGGCAGGCTTGCCTGTTACAGCCTCATCTTCCTCAGTAATTTTAGAGAAAATGTAAGATAACCAGGGGCATGCATATTCTGTGATTCTTCACAGACAGGATGGGATACACAGGCAGGGCCCGAAGGTAGAGGATCTTGGCCAGTGTGGCTTCAGACAGCCGCAGGCATCCTCAACCTCCTTGAATTCTCCCAGCCCATTGGCCTCTCCCTGGGATACTCCGATGCTAAGACTGGCCAGAAGACGGCGATGATAAGAGCAACCTGGGGAAAAGGTAACATCTCAGTCACCCCATCTAATTGGAAATTGCCTGACCTGGAGAACAGCTGTCTGGAAGGCCAGCAAGCAGTTCATCAGTGTACTGAAGTCTCAGAGAAAGGACTTGTCTCGGCTAGTGGGCCACTGCACTTCTTGGTTGCCTATTTAACGCAAACCATCTAGGGGCAGCCTCCCATTCTATCTCAGTGAAATCCTAAAGCCCCCTGACTCTTCCAGCCAGAAGTTTTCCCTTTAGGACCTGCCTGAGGGCTGCAAAGCTAAAATACCTCCCACTCTCCCTTCTTGGTGCAGGTCTCCATACTGTGGACTCAGAATGCAGAGGGGAGGGTCTTGCCTCTATTCCTGGCTTCTCAGGAGCTGTGTTACCTGGACGATTCCCCTCCTCTTTGGGCCCCAGTTCCTTACCTGCAGAATGAAAATGGCTGCCTTGTTAGAACTGCAAAGCAACATGTCCAGAGAGCTTGTGCTGTTGATCTACATCAACCATCTTGCCATGGGCCTGCTTCATACCTTGCAGGCACTTCAGTGTAATGATCATAGAAGACACCCGCTGGGTTTCTTCCTATCCAGTGTTCTATGAGTCTGTGATCGTTGGTTCTAGCCCAACCTCTCAGAAGATGAACAAACTGGTAATTTTACCATTTCACTACTTTTGCAATTTGTTAATACCGTTTTCACCATTTACTCTGCCATTGACAAGCTGTGTGTCTTTGGGCAAATCACTTGATTTCTCTGGACATTAGTTTCCTCATTTGTAAATGGGGATGATTCCTGATAAAGTACATAGAACAGGGCTTGAGATATAGATACTTTATAAACAGATTTTCTAGAAACTGATGGAAAGAACATCTTCATGCTGACCTTAAAGCAGGTTTTAAGCTGGAAAATTTAGATTTTCTAATAGACAATCTATTTGATGCTGTAAAAAGGGGTGACTTAAATCAAATGACCGGGGAGTGCGAGTTAGTCTATGAAGCCCTCCTGGCCTGGGGCTGGTGAGGGGGATGGGGCATCTGGGGCATGTTCTCTGTCTGGTAGTCCATAGCTTTGCTATTTTTCTTCTAATACTGTCAATACAGCTAAGGGTTCAACTGGCAGTAAACCACAAGGCATCCTTCCAGCCACCATGCCTCTGAGAGCAAAGCTTGGGAGGACTGCTTCTGCCTACATGCCTGCCTGTCCTCATCCACAATGTTTAAGGTGATTTCAAGCCAGAGGGCCTAGATTCTTATCTTGACCCTGCCGCCCCTGACTCACCATGTGACCTTGAGCAAGTCATTTTACCTGTCCATGTCTCAGTCTCCTCAGCTACAAAATAGGAGTGGGAACAAAAATGCTTGCCCTGCAGGATAGACAAAAGGTCAGTTTTAGTTGGATTCTTCGGAAAGAAGAGCCTTAGACAAGGACTTGGGTGTAGACAGTTTGCGTGGAAGGTGATCCCAGGAAGCAGGGCTGAGGGAGCAGGAGGAATGAGACAGGGAGGGAGGAGATCCAATGAAGGGAGTGGAATCAAGGTAGCTGCCTTAGGCAATGGGCCCCTGACCCCACTGGGAGCTCTTTAGAAGAGCTTACAGAATGCCTCTCAAGTTATCTGCCAGAGAATAGGAGGCTGCAGCATTTATCCAAAGGCTGCTGCCCTTCGTTGTCTGCTCCCCAGTCTAGTTTCTATTCCCCTATAAGAAAGCTCTCCAGACCAGTGGCCATAGAACAACCTCTGTTTCATTATGTTCATGTTCTGTTGATTAGGAGTTTGGAAAGGACATAGCAGGGGAGGCTTGTCTTTGTTCCATGATGGCTGAGCCTTAACAAGGAAGACTTACAGGCTGGGGTGACTCAGCAAGTGGGGTCTGAAGTCATCTGAAGGCTTGTTCACTCACATGTCTGGCTATGGAGGTTGTCTGCTTCCTGGGACCTGTTGGCTGGAACACCTAGGCGGCCTATCCCTGCGGCCTCTTCATGTGGGCTAGTTACACTTCCTCAAATCACAGCGGCTGCATTCTAAGTGCAAGCATCCCAAGAGAACCAAATGGAAGCTGTGTTACCTTTGATAGCTTTGCCTCAGAGTCACACATTGTCACCTCCATCACGGCCACAGGCCCTCCCAAATTCAAGGTGGGCAAGCAGAGTCCTACCTCTCCAGTGGGAGGCATGTCAATATCACATTGTTAAAAGAGCACATGAAATGGGAGATGTTGTTGTAGCTGGTTTTGGAAAAGATGACTTGCCACATTCCCCAAGTCATTCACTTCCCTGAATATCTGGGAATAGAGGGCTCTACAGAGTCAGAAAATGTTCTCAAGCAGAAAGGCGGGGAGACATGTGGCAGAGGCATGGAGCTGCCCAGAGGTGAGCTGAGGGCATGTGACTCAAAATTGTCTAATGAGGCTCAAATGATATGAAAATGCTGAACAGCCTTTTGGGTTTATTAAATCTGAGGGAATTGCCTGATAGCGAGCTTCACTTTTCAGTAGATGGCTTGGTAAATACCAGGGCCTTCTTCACGGCTGTGGGTCCCATGCTAGGATAGGATAAATACAGCTGGTGGTTTCTCATGTCTTGTGGCTCAGGAACCATTAGTGAGGGCAAACCCACACTTCCAGACTTTACTTCTGCCTGGAATTTGGTGTCTCACCTGACTCTGCCATACTCTCCAAGACATCTCACCAATCAGGTTTTCTTTTGGGGCTCACCTAGACCCTCTCTGGGGCAGCTCTTGCCAGCAGCCCTCACATAACCGTCAGCCTAGAAACTGCAGCAGCCCGGGGCCAGTGTGCCGGAGACTCCTAAAAGTGCTCCGAGTGCGTTGGAGAGGTCGTAGAGTCCTAAGCAGTGCTCCTCTGGAGTTGCCAACCTTCATGGCAG